AACTTCTGTAGGGCAAAAGAAACACGTTGGGTGCATTTATTAATGAGCTTATAAAACAATCTTCTCAGATAATCACAACGGCTGAACTCCCTCCAGATGGTCTCCTCCCCTCCCGCCTTCTACGATTAAATAATCATCACCTGGGTATCATCTACAGCCCACATGAAGCAAACCCAGGCTCCGGGACGGTTTCCAGTGACAAGGTACCTGAACGGATGCGTTTGGAGAACAGAACCACAGCTACAAAGACAGGCTTCAGCTGGGTGCTCACCAATTCCCCTTTTTAATACGTCCAAATGCTTGAAACCACATACCGGGTACCTTCCTATACACGATAAAAGCTTGAAAAAAAAAAAAAAAGAAAAAAAAAAGGCTCATTATGCAAACAGTTACAGACTTCTGCTATGAACAATGGCCCTTAAAATTTTTGTCTCTTGTACATCCACTGCTACCTGAGGAAGATCCCAAATTGGATACACCTCAAAACTGATTTCAGCAGTCAAAGGGCTAACTTCGGCTATTTAAGTGCTGATTTCCACGTGCTTGTGCCTAACTTCAAGCTACGCTTTGAATGCAGTATTACCTTTGTGACACGCAGTATTATTTTAGCAGCCTAGAACAACCTCCACAGCTTGCAGTATGCTTTTTAAACGTATTTTAATACAAGTCTGCTAGCTATTAACAGTGGCAGAACAGATCCTGTTCCATCCATAGACATCTCAATCTTTCAAAACTGTAAGAAAGTAACAAAAAGGGATTCTAGATTTTCAGTGCTTCTCAACTTCCCAAAGTCTTTTGGGTGATCAGAAAAAGACAACAAGCAAATTGAAACAAAAGCTTGAACTATAATGCACACATGTGCTGCGTTTCTATCACCTGTATTTTTCCCTGCATGTCACAACTCCTTCCCCAAAAGCATCTGCTGGCCGTGCTTCACATCAGCAACCCAGCCACCTGAAACAACCCTAGCAAGGGCTGTAAATCGTCATTCAATCCCATTTATATTCAGCAATGTTCTTTCTGTAGCAACTCCAGCATAAAGCAGTTGCCCAACACGCACAACATATTTCAGAAACATCAGCAGAGAAAACAAAACAGGACAAAGAGAGAGGTGAGAAAGTAATGCAAGCCAAGCAAATTGAATACTCCTGTTTCTGGGGTTAAAAATAAAATTAAAAAAAAAAAAAAAAGTTAAATTGTTGTTTTTCATACATTCTTGCCATCCAAAGGAAATAAGTCATGCAGACAAAAAAAAAGTCTCACAGTTCAGGCAAAGGTGACAAAATTGCCAACTTTCATAACAGGTACCTGTACTGAGCAGAGCTGAGCATGCCATGACTATTTGATTAGCAAAGACATTGAGGTGATGTATACAGAAAGACACATAAAGCTTCATAAAGTTATCCCATTTTCTCCTTAGGGCAAGCTGTAAAAGTTGCAAATAAACTGCAAAAGTATGATTTTACTGAAACTACCACATGGAGATTCAGAAAGATCAGTGTACACGTCATTTATTTGATGATTTAGTGATTCCAGTATAAAAGGCAGGACTACCCCGACAGGGCTTGCCACTATCAAGAAAACCTGGAAAACACTCAGTACAGTCATTCAGGAAGACCTGGACGTGCAGCTCTGGGAAGAACTAGCATGAAGCTTCATACATGACTTCCCAACAGAAATTACAGTCCTAAAAGTAAAAGCAGCAAAGGAAAGGAAGGCTCTAGATGCATCAGTCAGTTGGCAGCATTCACATGTGCTGTCAGTGTGGGTGTCTGCCCCGAAAAGGCAAGCAAGCTCAAACACAGAAAGCTGAGAAATTTGTAAAGCCAAGAAAGCACTTTTGTTGTTTGAGACTCACAAAAGCTCATTCCGGTATACAACTCTGCTCACGCACATGCAGCAAGGATGACTTCATACCACAAGAGAAGGACCACAGCTAATTCACCAGACGGAGAGCCCTTTTTAGGGGACTGGACAAAGAACCTGGCGTGCTTAGATGAGCAAAACAAGGCTAAGAAGGCATGCAGTTTCATACAAACATCTTCTATAAATAACCAAAGGGAAAACAGCCCCCTTTCCCCCACCCCAATGTACAGGACAGCTGCTAAACTATCAAACAGCACTGGTACAAAACAAACAAAAAACAGATTATAAACCAGAGCACATGGATTCAGAAAGCTCCTACCCATCAGAAGTGGAGTTCTGGAAATTTCAGAGCTCCCAGCATGGGGAAAGGGGAGAAGCAGCTTAACTGGTTTCATTAAACTTGACCAGCTTATAATTATAAGCCTTTGTTTTACTACGTGATGTCTTGAGACTGTCCAGAGTACTGAAGGAAAGAATAAACACGTGGAAGTAAATGGACGCAGAAATTGTTGATTTTTAAAATGAAAGACAGCTCACATCCAACAGTTTGTCTGGCATTTTGACTACTAATGCTCCAGGAATTAGTTATGAAAGTGAAGTTAGCCTACGTGTATTTAAATGTTTAGCAACATGTCCCACAGGAAATCGTTCAAAATAGGAATCAGACTTAAAAGATACATACAGAAATCGATCAATGAGGAAGTTACAACAAGTTGCACCAAAGTGGAAACTGTCACAGGAGAGAGAGGTTACTTGTAGCACTCCTCCTAGCCCCATTCATTTAATTAGTAATCAAGGAGCGAGAGTTAAGTACGTGCTCATGAAATTTCTGTGGATGACACCAAACTGCAAACTATCAGGATACAGAGAACTGGATAAAGAAGAGCCCGTGGGTTTTGTGGACTGGAATGCCAGGAAATGGGATAATAGCATGATGTGAAATCATGCGTTTAGGGACCAGTAACCTTTTCTGTAAGCTGAGAACTCATCACCTGGAAGCAACATAGTAGGAACGCACAGAGCAATGAACTGTGGAAATCCCTGTATAAGGATGCTGATGCTTACACAAGCAAAAGAGGAACTCAACACGTCCACGTAAAAAAAAAACTCCAGAGAAATTCCACTCTGAGATGGAAACAGAGAGGCTGGAGCTGTCCTGGGGGAAGTATCACTGCTGACAAGGATACTGCGTCAGGTGAATCGTTGGTCTGAAATAGCAGCGTTGCACTCATTTCTGCCAAAAATTGCTACTGCCCCTCACAAAACATTTTCTTGACTGCAGAGGACCAACTTCAACTTTCATTTATCTCTAAAATACACGCTCCTTTCCCTATTTCATTACCCGCAGCGATTCCTCCTCAAGCTAAAGAATGCTATTAGCGCAAGTTACGACAACGACTGCACGTGAGCATAATTTAATGGATCTGAAATTAAAAGTTTTGTAATTGCCTGACAAACGAGATACAAGAACACTCTTCCAAACAGAGCAGCTGGGAAAAGGAACCATAAGCCGATCTAAAAATTGCCTGAGTAAACTTTTGGACGGGACAGAGAAACAAATGGGCGTATTCCTGAGAAGCAGGAGCTTGTGCTTCTGTATTTGAGTGAAGGATGTGTTTACACTGCACTGACAGCCTGGACAGGTACCGTGATTTAGGGTTCCACTGGCCACCTGTGGGACCAGGAGGACTTTTAATTCGTTGCTTTCGAGGCACCAGGCATTGCCTGCAGGGTAAGAGCGGCCGCCCCGGTGCCGTGCTGCTATCTCACATGCACAAGCTGAGGGCAAACCTAACCACCCGGCACCCTGAGGGCTCCTCGGGGCAGCCACACAGGCGCTGCCTGGCGCTTTCCTGCTTCGTGGATGAGTGTTTTTGGATCCCCCGGGCTGGTGTTTGACAAACATCCCAACACTGGAGGTATTCCAGGTGCTTTTGGTCGGCCAACCCCTCCTGCTCCCGGCACAGGGCGGTTTCGAAGTTTGACCTTCGCTGTAAGCCACGGGCTTGTCACGGCTTTCGGGGCACGCTCTGGCTTATCACAACCAAACCTCTGCCACACGGGTGGCCTGGATTACCGAAGCAGCAAGGCTCTCCGAGCATTTTCCAGCCCGTTCGGGCCAGTTTCCTGGAGCTCCTCTCCCTTTGAGCCTTCCCAAGGGAGACGCTGAGGCACCGCAGGTGCCACACACCCACTTCCCCACAGCGCCTCCGCGTTTTACTTCAACTTGACCAAAAACCCCGACTTTCACCTCAGCACACGCACTTGTAAGGTGGCGTTTGCCTTTCCCAAGGAGGCTCCCTGCAGCACCCCGTTTCCTACAGCAGATCTCAGCGAACAAAGCCCCGGGCGGGCAGCGGGACACACACACACACACACACACCCCCAACCTGTTGCCGCTCAGTGCCGGGCTCGGGTCGCCCCCTGAGGGCTGAGGAGAGCCCCCCGGGTCGGGATGGGGTGAGTTGGGCTGGGTTGGGACGTTATGGGGTGGATGCGATGGGGTGGGGAGGGGAGGGTCGCGCCCCCGCCGCCTCACTCACTCGATGAAGTAGCTGGCGCCCTCCTCAGAGAAGCCCTCCTCCCAGCCGCGGGGCAGGTCTGCGGGAGGCAGCGAGAGAAAAAAAAATAAAAAAAAAAAAAGGGAAGAGGGGTGAGGGCTGGGCTCCTCGCAGTGTGAAGCAGAGGAGGAGGAGGAGGAGGAGGAAGGACCCACCTGAGCGGATCATGTGGCCGGAGTTGACGGGCTCCCCGGTGCGCGGGTGCAGCCAGGTGGTGCTGCGGGTCAGGTCGCTGCGGGGAAGGGAAAGGGGGGGGAGAAGCGGACAAGACGCACCTGTTAGCAGCGGGCTGCCCCTCCCCGCCTTCTCCCCGTCCCCGTTCCCATCCCTGTCCCTCCCTCTCTCCCGCCGCCGCCGCCCCCTCACTCGATGAAGAAGACGCGGCCGTCCCTGCAGACGCCGTAGGACCAGTGCTGGGGCAGCGCCTCCCGCCCCACCGCCGCCGCCATCTTCGCCGGCCGGCCGGGAGGAGGGGAGAGGAGAGGAAGGAGAGGAGAGGAGGGGGTGCGGGACGCGCAGCGCCCGGCAGCGCCCCCGCGGCCGCCGGAGGCACGGCCCGGCCCCGGCAGCAGCAGCAGGAGGAGGAGGAGGAGGAGGAGGGCCACCCTGAGGGGATGAAGGGCTGAGGGGAGCGCCTGCGAGGCGTGAGGGGCGGCAGGGAGCGGCGCGCAGGTGGCTGGGGAAGTGGCCGCGGTCAGCGCCGCGCCCGGCGGCTGTGAGGGGGAAGCCGGGTGAGGTGTCAAGAAACAAGGGGGAAAGTGCTGGTTTAAGCAACGCGCAGGAGCTTTTTCGGCTCCTAAAGAGCCAAAAAGCGTTAAAGGGAGGTGTGGAAAGCGGCAGCGATGCAGGGAGGGGGGGCTGCGCCCCGCCTCGCGGGTTTGGTGGGGATTTTGTGGAAATGTAGCGGGGTTTCACAGCTGCTGAACTGTTTCTAACCTCTACAGACATTACGCTATCCTAATAACTTCCTTGACGTTACGCTATCATCTAGTTCTTTCTCAATTTTCCCGTCTTCCAACAATTGACAGAATTCTCACTGCTCCTGCCTGACCACAAAGCGGCAGAGGATGACTTCTGGCCCCTTACCCCCTCACAGTTTTGATCACAGCTTCCAAAACTAAAACTTCTGTGCTGCTTTTCCTTGAAGCCCCATGATATTAGAAGTGAATTATCACATACATCACAAAGTACTTGCGGTAAGTTGGGTTCTCATGCAATTATACAGTAAATCAAATACTAGCTGCTTAGCGTCATTACATGCGATATCTGCACAGAAGAGAGAAGAATCTCCTGCTCTGGAGAGATTAATGTATCCTGATGCCATGGAGCAAGTATTTCATTCTCTGTCAGCTGTGTGAACTCATTCAAGTTAGCAGGTAATTCCACCACCCTTTGGCCAAATGGATCTCTCCTCTGAATGTGTCCAGACTACCCTAGAGCCCACATCCAAAACAGCCAGTGGCGAACTCTTCCCGATGCTCACCTTACCTGAAGTGTGTATGCAGAATCGCCTCCTTTTGGTTGCTTTGAACCCAGCTCCGATTTCACTGATTCCCCTCAGCGCTGACAATGGAAGAGTCCAATTTATGCAGGGCCAACGTTAAATTTAGCAGATTCTTTCTTTGCATCAAGTTCAAAGCTCCCTTTTATCAATTTGTGACCCTTGTCATATTACCAAATCTTGAGCTGATCTATCGTAGTGCCTGCAGCATTAGAATACATACCTCAGTTAATTTCAGATAAATGCAGTATCTAAAAGCTGTGTTCTATTGTAGTAACATGCAGAGCTCTATTCTAAAATTAAGATCAAGATGAAAACAATCTAAATTTACAAAAGTTCACAAGCTAACTTGCGTTTCGTTCATCATCAGGAGACAGGTTTATGACTTAGAGCAGTGGAGAAAGAATGCCTCCATCATTCATTAATAAGTTTATCAAATTCATCTGATTATTTTTTTTTTTTTGACTGTTTTTCCTGTTTATAGCTGGTGCTAAAGCTCTAGTTTCAGTTGTCCCTGGCTGACCTCAGCCACTTTTATTTTCTTTTACATATCATTTATTGCTCTTGTATCTTGTCTGGAATAAGTTATTCAGAGTTAAATCAGGAGCTTCAGGCCACAGTATCAGGAATTCAGGTAATGGGAATGAAATGTGCTATTCAACAAGATCTAGAGTCTAATAAAAGTTAAGTTTCTAGGTTCCCTTTGTTGATAACTGGATAACCAAAGGAGTTCATGTCCCCAAATGCTGTGGGTTTGAACCCACATTTGGCAGCTCCATCTGAACGCATTACTAGGTTATTTGTTCTGTCTGCATCCTAAGAAACACTTTCTTGGATAGTTTTTGTTAAGTTTCTTTTGCCTAGGGAGGACAGTAATATATTTAAAAAAGGTACACCAAAATCTTTATCTACATTTTGCTACTTCCAGGATAAAATCAAACAACCAAATATGAGCATCCTTTTCCTTTCTTTTCAGCCCTTTGCTTTACAATCCACCTTTACTGATCACCAATATCTCACTCTCATTTCTGTTTTGTTTTTTTTCCCAATTCTGTATTATTTCCCCTGTCCCACTGAGGTCAGCATATTTTCCTGCACTTTTTCAACCCTTCATATAACTTCTCAACAAAGTATACAGACAATTCTAGAAATAACACTGGAAATGCTTTTTGCAAGAATCTCCAACCAAAAAAATCTGGAAGTATGATTTCCATCAGTCACAGTTAGATTCAGTGTCTAGGAGGTTACAGAATCACAGCTGGATTTCACACAGTTGGCTGTGTACTCTAATGATCTATTTTCTATTTTTTCTAAAAATTGAGCATAATTGAATGGTCTTAGAGGTCAAGAGCTGCTGCTGTTTTGGGAAAACTTAACTGAAGTGAGCTAAAATACATAGAAAAACCTTCTAGTTATGGCTTTTTCAGGCTTTTTCATGGTCTGAACATTTTTTAAAGGACAAAGACAACCTCTGAAAGGTGAGAGGCCAGACAGAAGCAGAGCATTTGAGAAGCAATGAATTCAAATTAATGAATTCCGATTAAGAAAGCTCACGACCCGTGTTGTAAAATGTATAACATGCCTTTTAGCATGATTTGCCTGCTCTGCTCATGACAGCTGAGAATTAAAATGACAATAAGTTACGTAGTGATAAAGATTAATTTGGAAGACCATTTTGGAGCAGCATGCCCAATTCTTTTTCTCATTACACTCAAATATAGGGTGTGCAAGTGAATTGTTCTTCAAGATTGTGCAGCGAAATTTCCATCCAGAGGCGACAATTGCTTAAGAGACCAGAAATCAAAACCTAAGTTCTTACAGGTAGAAGAATATGTTAATCAGACAATAGGGAAAATGTGAAAGATCTTGGAGGAATTTTGGCAAACCCGTACTCCAGGAACATTTCTGATACTGTTTTGCCAACATTGCAACACATTGTGTCAGCTGATGGAGGAACTTCACTAAGGAACAGATCAGGTTTGTTCATTCAAATTAAGGAAAACAACTTCACTGTTAAACTCTCAAACAGCACGGGAAAGTCATCCCTGATAACAGCATTAATGATCCCAAAAATAGCATAATAAGAATACCAGCTTTGCCTATCTCTAGGCAGCTCAAGGAAACATGCTGAGGTCCCTGATTATTACAAGTTGGAACCCACAGAAATGGTAGGCTTCAAACACTTAAAGGCACTTCCTGGTAGGGTCTCTTCAAAAAGAATTATAAAGAAAAAAGGAGAACGTTTGCCACTGATTACCTAATGTTGGTATCTCAGTGCAGAATAAAAATAGTAGTGACATCAATGGGGCTCTTCAATAACCCGAAAAATCAAAAAAGATCATGCAAAGTTAGAACCCATGCCATGCCATATGACTACAGAATACCATAAAGAAAAAGATCAAGCATGCTGACAGTTTGTTTATTTTTTCAAGTCCGAGATACAAAAATTGTTTTCATCAAGAAGATGGCCAATTAAAAAATATTTACATTAAACACAGACAAAATACTACCCTATTACGTATGAGAAGCAAATAAGAAAACAAAAACACCTTTTTTTTCCAAAATAAAAATATAGTAATTTTTTTTAAATACATATCATTCAATTGTATTCCCTGTTCACCCATTTCAGGGTGAAAATTAATTATCTTGATTTATACGAGGATAAATTTGAAGATAGGTACTACATAGAAAATTTCCCAAATGTAGTTTTCAATAAAAAAGATTAAGTAGGAATATGTCATGATATTCCCTTTAGCACCATTTTTTAAAGGCTGGTCCAGACAAAATTTCTGTCAGAGAGATTCTAAGTATTATTGTTTGTTGTTGTTGTTTTCCAGATCAGGATGAGCAGATGATCTCACAAGATCCCTCTTAGCCTACCTTTCCAGGAAAACAGAAGCTGATTCAAAATGAGAAGTTTTTTAGAAATAAGTGGACGTAAAAAAATTTCATCACCTGCTGCCTACTGAAGAGCATTGTTATCAAGTGGCTTCCGAGCTTACAGAAAGAACATGTGGTAACCACATGATCCACAGAAAATAAAAGAGCTGGACACAAGGAAGGGGTGGCAAGAGTCAGAAGGTATGGACGAAAGTCAGGCAAAACATCTGCAAGATGTTGCCTGTTTCCAGCCTAAGTATTTTTCAGGACAGGGTTAATATATATCCAAAACCACTATCCAAAGCAAAATGATAACGGTGGCCTTTTCATGAAGGATATTAGAAAGCACTCTGTTTCAAAAAGATATTAATAATTGCAATTCCAAATAAATGTTGAAGAGAAACAGAAAGGTATTGTCACCGATGGATTGCATTTCATCTTTTTGTAATCACTGATATTAAATGAAACAGATCTTTTGCACTTTGTGGACAGTGCAATTTATGCCATGGGGAAAGTGATGGCAAATATTAGCAAAGGAAAGATTTTTAGAGCCTGCTTCCCTTGCAATAGATTAAGAGGTTACCCTAAATTTCCATGGGACTAGTGTCAGGCAAGAGTGCCAGAAGATAAATAGAGCTCATAAAGCAAAGAAGATTAAATAATGTAAAATCTATTATTGAGGGAATTCCAAATACGGAAAAAGGAATTATTCATTTTCCTGGCCACTGGAAAGAATATAAACAAGCTCAGATTGTAACTGCGTTTCCTTTGAGAACATTATGGAGCACGACAGGCGTTGCACAAGGGTATTATTCAGGCTTACTGTATCTCTACGCAGTATGAGCTGACTGATGACTGCACACACGGATCAGCTGAGTCTGTAACACTGCTGAGCAAGACAGATGGGAAAATGACATTGAGAAGGCAACACTCGTGCTGCATAACAAATCCGAACTTCTCCTTCCAAAACATGCTGAACATTCCTAGGAGTAAAACAAAACATCAAAAAACAAGGTAACTATTTTTAGTCAGATGGTTTTCCATTCCAAAGTGCTGTCAGTGTTTAGAATTGTGTTCATGCTAAAAGCACCTTTGTGGAATCCAGAAGGTAACTTCAAAATAATTCTACCTGTTTGTGTTTCCCATACAAATCTTCATTTTTATCCAGCTGATTTACCTTTTAGACGCTAATATCTGAATATATATCCAATTACTTTACTCTGCTGAATACCCTATTGCCTAGAAGATTTTTATTTCAGGAACCAAGTTAAGCTTGTCCCCTGAAATGCACAGAAATGCATGTGAAAGCAAAAATGAATGAATACATTGCCTAATGACTACGTCAATTTACAGTTTTCTGTCACACAAACTTTTATAGTTACTATATTTAACGCGGTCCTATCAGTTCTCTTCAATATTTTTCTCTTTTTCAATTCCCAAAGTCCCAATAATTTACATACCTCATGCCTAGAATCCTTGAACTAAGTTATATTTCATAATCAATAATTAAACTAAAAACAGTCATAATTTTGTCTACATATCATTCCAAAATAGCACAGGTGCCTATAGCTATCAGGGTGCACAGTGTTCGAGTTATTTGTAGAAGGGAGAAACACATTAAAAACACGAAAGAACAATTACATGTCAAAGTACAGGATCATTTCCAGAGATTTAAACAAGATTTATAATGAACAGTTCAGGGTCTTTTTCTTACTTTCTTTGGCAAAGGGTGCTGTAGGCCTGACAACGCTGAGAAGCACTCAGTTCAACATTTACACGTCTGTGTCTGTCAACATTTGTTTTTTTTTTCAAAGCAGAGACCTGAAGCCGGTTTCACATGTGTCATCCCACAGCCATGTGCACATGGGTGTGAAGAGGAGATCCTTTTGTAAGAAAAGGGATGAAATAGAAGATGGACATCTCTAACTGACCATCTAAGAGTAAGAGCTTAGAGTTTGAAATCCAACTATTGAATTTTCTCAAGTTTCCTCACTGACTATGCACTTTCCTCCTGCTCCTTTCCCCAGAATTAGAGACCTCTCTTTTCTCTTCTTGGTCAAAGCTTTTTTCCCAGCTTCAAGCCCTCCACCCTGTGTAATAGCTCCTGGCTGGCATTACCCTTTTCCAGGACCTCTGGCAGCTGCCATTACCGTATTTGCCTTTTTGCAATCTTCATTCTGACTTGTTTTCTAAAGAAACTAAACGTCACTGAATTCAATACCCAGGCTCCTTCCTGAAGTTTGTTTCTCATCTGCGCTGTAAGACTCGAGACCCCTCCCTGGAGTCCCCTCAATAACAAACCTCACACAAATCTCCAGACAAAATTCAGTTTTAGTGTCTTCTGCCCAATCTTTCCAGAAATGTTCTTTTCTCAGCAGGCTCATAACTCACCGAGGTCTCAGCCCTCCTTCTAAATGAGTTTTGCCTGGCAGAGAATCTCTTCTCGCTGAGATCTCCCAGTTCATGATTTTTCTCACACTGTAAATACTCCATCGCAGATTTCCCAATACCCTACTTCTTTTCTGTTTCTTCCATCTTTCTGTTACAAGCCTAGCAACCATGACTTTTTGCCAATCCTCTGCACCCATTTTTTTTTTTCCTCTTCTATGCTGGACTCTGGTCCTTCTGTGATTTTCCAGTTCTCTGCTACGCAGCTAGATCCCCTTCACCCCGGGCTTTGATGGTTTGGAACAGCAATTGGTCAGTTTCTAAAGGCAATGTGATAAAGCATCTCTGTGTGAGCATGACAGAGCCAGTAGCTATAGTAACAGAAAAGCATACTTTAAACACAAATGAACCAGAAATAAAATCCAGGAGAGGTCTCCCATCTTCCCCCTATCCCCAAATATTGCAGGGTTCCCTAAATCAACTCCTACGTATCTTTCCTTAACCATATCTCCTCCCTAGCCCAAAACAGGGTGAGACAGAAATAAAACTTTTCTCCCCCCTAGTTTAAGGGCAATGGCCTCACCAGGGAGTCCCAGGAGGAGGCTGGGAGGTTAACCTGGGTTTGGGAGAGGACGTTTTCCACAGCACAGTGGTGCTGCTCTGTCTGGAGACATCTGTTTGCATCCCAAAGTAGGAAGGCTGCCTGCTGATGCTGGTGACACAGCACAGTTTCAGAGAATTCAAAAATTTTAAATAGAAATCGCTTAAAACAGAAAAAGTTTTAAACCAGAAAAGCTTTCTGTGAGTTTTTGAGAAGAGCTCCTGAACCTCCACCAATCAAGGTATTAAAGAAAAGGTGCTTTTTTCAGCACTCATACCTTCTCCACTCCTCTAGAGCCTGTGTAGGTGGCCTTCCGCAGAAAGGACCAAAATAGACCTGGTGCCTCAGTGCTTTACAGGTCAGCAGGCTGCAAAACGCTGTTCAGTAATTTACTGCATTTGTACATGTCACACCTTTCCATTCTCTCTTTTTAAAATATACCTGTGGAAAGAGATAAGCAATGCAGGCTCAATTCGAACAAAAAAAGACGTTTAGTGAACTCCATATTTTACACAAATTACAAGTAATGAAACGGTTTTTTATTTACTGCAGTGTCACCTTTCAACAAATTATTCATTTTTATTTGATATTCCCTTTCTGAGGGACTAAGATTGTTCCATACATCTATGAAATACACATAAATGTGCTCGTACATGTATTTTCAATAAAACCCACCCGAAATAGATTTCCTTTTAATCACTGAAGTAAGTTACCATGCAATTAAGGAGAAAGAATTAGGTGTTTCAGCAAGTTACATCCTAACAACTGGAATATTGTTATACCTGAATCAGTTTTATACTTTGACATCTTCCCATTGTTATCGAATAATAGCTAAAAACCTCTCTGGCTGTTACAAGACACCGTTATAAATAACCTCTATTATTTAGATATCTGACGGATGTAATCTCTACAAATGATGAATTATATCCCACTTCTTAATTACACAGTCCCCTGAAATCTAATTTAAATAGTAGCTAAGCAGATTAAATACAAAAAAAAAAAAAAAAAAAAAAAAGCAGTTCACAAAATGATAAATTTAGGTTTTTGGCTCAGCTCTGTAATTTTTCCACAGATGATTTTGTAAAGTATCATCTTCTGCGGCATCTTCTCAGGTCAGCGTAATCTGGATTTACATATTGATTCATTCAGTTTCTATGTCAATCATAACAAAAAATTTAATAAAAAGAACAACTCTAATTGTTCTTCAGAGATTTAGCAATAATTACTCCCCTGTCATCTCAGTCAAGCTGATGTCTTTCACACGTTCTGTTTTTCAAGCATAACCACTGTACGCTTCTTTTGGGCACTGCATACTTTGCAAATGAGTATTTCATTCACTGAGACGTTGATGGCTGCCTTAACAACATACCACACAGGGGTTACACTTGATAAAATTGGAACTGTATTCTGTCAACAATAATTACGTGGGTGTTTTGCTCCTTTCCTGCCATAGCTGTCCCATGGCAACAGTGTAAAAGCAGCACTCTTCTTAAATACATAAATGAGTCCTCACATGACACGTGTCTGGCTCAGATTTGGCAAAGGCATGGTGAAAACAAAGACTTTTTTGAGAAAACATCACAACCACTCTTCCACTGTATGCAAATCTGTCAGGGACGTGCTGATTCCCAAGCGGAGGGTACAGCTTTGCTGCAGTAACGGCAGCAGCAGGCTGAGGTATTTCCAGAGACAAAACAAGCTAACATTTTCACTTCAGGCCATTCTCTCCACTTTCAGACTAATTTCCAAAGAAATGCCTCAACTGAAGGTCATTCTTACAATTAACCCTGCTTTTGAAGCTGTTGTTGCTGCTAAAGCAAATCAGATAAAAACATTAAAAATCCTATTTTTTATCAGCATTACCTCCACCAGGACTGCAGACAAACAGCCGCTGTTAATGAAGGTGCTGTCCTATAAACTCTTGAAAATAATCAAAGTTTGGTGCATGGGAAATCAGCTTTATCATTTCCAGTTGTTATTTTGAGAGTGTTTTTCTAAGATTGTTCTGAGATTGTAAATCAAGCTCAGGAACAAGAGGTATCCTACCTCACATAAAGCAGTCACAAGGAGAGTTAGGATGTTTCAGGCTTTTACCCTGGGCTCAGCAAGCATCTGAGACCAGGCAGCATCAAGTACAGCTCCAGCTCCAGTCCTTCAAACATCAGCTTTGGTGACAAGACTAGCAAAAAGGGCACGAGCACCCCGACTAAACTTTTTTCATTCAAGTCGATGCTAATGTAATGGGAAGCACCTGGCGATTAACAAAGTGGGTCAGATTTGGGGTGGATATGTAGGAGAAACTGCTTAAAAGCCCACCATATGTCCCTGGAAGCATCCTTTCTATGGGTTTTAACATCCTGGAAAGATGTTGAGAATCAACTGTAGCACTTGCCAAGCACAAGACTACTTGCAGAATGTAAGATGTATCTGTACAAGCATCCAGCACACAACAGTTTCACACCAGGGGAAAGAAATACAGCTCAAAATAAGGAGACGTGTAATGACAAGCTGTGTATTGGTATATTGACAAAACCCACTTTGCCTGGAATGTCAAGAGTTAGTCTCATGTTAGCCACATATCAATTGTCTTTTGTATCGTCACGTGGATGTAAAGGAAGCCCTGAGTGTTTGCTGTCAGCATCTGATTAACCACTGAATCCTAACCATGGTTGTGGAACAAAGAGCAATTTTATTTGATGCCAACCATTGTCTGCAGCAGTGCAACAGCACAGCTTCCATTAGAGGAGGATGAATTTGAATCCTGGTAAGATGCGGGGATGAAATGTTAACTTAGGCCAAATGAATATTCATATAGGAAAGTGAAAATAGGTGTCAAGGACTTGCTGCACTTAAGTCCTTGGTTACATGAAAACTGTACACCATTTGACAAAACAACACTGGTTTCTAATGATTCCTTTCCCCATATAATTTATTCATCTATTCCAGAGCAGTGTTTCAGGGCTTAACAACTATTTGTAAAGCTCTGGCTGAAATGCACTCTCTAAATGCAAAACATTACAGCCTTTACAATGAATGAAGGAGGGTAGATTACTGGTTCAGAAAAGCCACCGAAGCTCATGAGCATGTGCATTTGAAGGGTATTTTACTTCACAGGCGAGGAAAGCCCTCTGCTACCATCCCATCTGCCTGAAAGGCTATGTGTGCTTCCTTCCAACCGAGTCCTCTCTGAAGTGCACAGAGAAAGAAGTTGGGTAACGTGGTCTCTTTTCTTATTTTCATCCCATTCCACCCTTATTTTCCCCATCGGGGGCAATGCCATGGCATGTCTTAAAGAACAGCTGCGAGAATTACCAACGAGGTTAAACAGCTCTATCACTGCCTTTGGGAACAGCTTTCCTTCATTTCTAAAGACAATAACTGTCTTACTGATGTGGCCTGGAGCTCTTCTCAATGCTTTGTGAATTTCAGCACTTTTATCACTATCAATGACATTAAGAGAAGAGCGATGGCACACCAGGACAGCTGAGCTCTTTCGGCCCACCTTGGCACACTAACGAAGTCAGCTGCCGATTCTTGCCCAGCCATGGCTCTCCTTAGGAGACCAGCTTGCTGAAACAGACACTTCTGAAAGTGCATAACATGCCACCGACTTCTGTCTACAGAAATGGCAAACAAGATGCTCTCGTTTCCAGGCAGGACCTGCACGAAGATGCAGTTCTCTTGCCCACTGTTGCAGTACCGCTGCGTCTGCTAAAGATGCTCTGGGCAATTTTAAGCACTTGTATGTCTGCTGGAGAAATGAAGACTTCCAAAATAGTAATTCTCTTAAACTTTTTTTTTAACGTTATCCGTACACTGTGATAATTACATATTATTCCCGGTAATAAAAGTTGACATAATGGTAATTATGATGATGAATAGTTCCATTAATTGTAGAGGCAGACTAAGACTTTGTAAGAGCAGGTTTTAGTACAAAAAGAGGTACATCAGGTACAATAAACAGTGTGGAATTAAGTAGTCTTTCTTCCCACATTAACCATCTATTTCTCAAGCATTTTTTTTCTACATTATGGGAATTTGTGCTCTGGACAATAAATGAGAACTCAGGAAAGGCAAAACTTTGGCTATAATTTTACTTTTCTGAATATTAATTTGTCTTTCTTACACCTGTAAATGGTGAATTTTTTATAGCTGCTCTGACTTCCCTCATACATAGTTCCTGCTGTATCTTAGCCGCATGGGTAAATACAAATATAAAACTCTTTTTTTTTTTTTTTTTTAAATAGCCAACTTTAAAGTTAAATATCATTTTTTGTCATTAGCCAAGCATGGAAAGTAGTTTGGCTGAAATATAATCTGAATATTAGGGGTCACTGTGAAGACTGTTCTGCTGGGAAGGAGAAAGATGACCGGAATTCTCGATTACACCAGCTCCTCTGGCAGTGCTGTATATGCAAATAGGATTTATAGAAACCACCATCCATCTGACAGAGGCATTAATTAAAACGTGTGGTAGCCTAAGATCACATTTTATCAATTCCAGTTTGCAAGAAGACTATGTCTAACGATTTTCTTTGGGAGTCACTGGTTTTTGCACTTGGATCACTGAAGATTTTGATTCTACCCGCAGAGTTACGCAGGTTGTTGCAAACTCCAGTGCCAACACCTTGACCTTTCAGTCTTCATTTTAAGTTTTTGCCCCAGTGTGATTCTCGTATTCTCAAGGGATGACAACTTCACATAGATCATCAGCAGCTGTAATTAATTCTGCATCAGCCCAGAATAAAAGCCAGGCATGCAGACAACCAGTACACTCCAGCATTCCCAGTATAAATTGCTGTAAACAGCCCAATATAATTCTCAATTGCACCACAGCTGTGACAGACATACAATTTCTTGTGAGGACTTACTGTTGAATTACACTGTAAATGCATATTAAAGTATGCATGGCATTTTCAGAGACTTGTATTCAAAGTGCTCTAGATGAAGGAGACACGAATTAAAAAATAATCACCACCTTCATTTTAGTTCCTTGAGGGGCGGGAACACCGTGACCACTGTGACGAAAGTATCTCAATATCCCATCCTTTAAAATATTTTGGAAACATGCAGAAACTGTGAAGAACATCAGCGTGATTAAACAGATAGGCAGGGAGACAAAGATAAGATCAATTTGGCTGCTTAAATAAAAGGCAATGATTTGGCATGGATCTCCAGAATGTGCCTGTACCCAATACTGCCAGTAGCAGGAGCACGTAACACGCAGCACGTTCCAACAGTAAATCTCAAACTCTTCTAAATAATAGTAATTCATCACGTTAGTGACCCAAGCACATGGAGAGATTGGACCAAAGGGAGTTATCTGTCGTCTCAACACCCAGCATGACCCAGTCCTTCCAAATTTATTGTCAGGACAACTAAAATTACAGCCAGTCCTGCAGACATTTAAGTGCATCTTGAACTTACGTACCTACAGCCACTGAAGTCATTGAGTCACCCTGCCAGCACAGGGGCCTAGAGGTGCCTCCAGCACCCGTGTCTCCCTCTCCGTTGTCTCCCTAGTAAGGACATAAAAAAAGGGCACTAGGACTTCCCACTCTCCTAGGAGGCTGGGATGCAGCCTCCTCAAACTCATACCCAAGCCGAGCTGTCTGAAGTGACCGGTGCAATGTATGTCAGTATACAACGAGTGCAAATATTTGTAATCATGTCTCCCCAGGGGTGCCTCATGACCCGAGAGCAAAGAGCAGGTACAGAGCGAGAAATGAGGAACAGACAGGCATGGGGGAGCAGGACAAGAAAGGTAGCTCCTGCCTAACACTGCGGGGATTCAGGCAGCTTTTTGGTGTTCTTTGATTTTTGCTGGTTTTACGTGTCATGAATTTGTTTTGCAATTTGAAAATCCTCTCGTCTCGTTATTTGCCTAAGTAGAAATGTCATTCCCAGAACCTAATTTTGAGCTGCTGCAGGAAAGTCTCTCAGTGAAAGCTGCCGTCATCTAAAGAGGCAGCAAATCACTGTCGGAAAGCTGCTGTTGATCAGCTTCCTGCTTTCCCATTCCCTGAAGCAACGAGCACTGAAAGGCTTCTTCAAGGGACAAGAAAAATCAGATGCATACCAAACCAAAGGTCACGGTCTTTTTTTTTTTTCTTTTTTAAACGTAAAATGTTACTAAGGCTTCTATTCACATAAATTGTCAATGCAACTAAATGCGTTTAGCAACGTCTTTGGAGCAGCGTTACCCTCCTCTTGTGAGGGCCATGTCAGATTATTTAAGACAGTCAGAAAAAAAAACAGATGTGTTGTTTTGACCAAGAGCAAAGGCACACGACCGAGCAGGATCTGGTTATGACAGCAAAGCAATCTACAGCTGAGGCAAGCCACGAGCACACAGCTACAGCCTGGTGCCGGTCTCATCTGGTCAACGTGCCCACGCCAGCAGCGTAGCGACGGGGACAAGATATGGAACCTGCAGATAAGGCTTGGTCTATGCTATAAAACTGGAAAAACTGCAGAATATTTTGTTGCTTTGCTGTGTCGCTTTCAGGAAAGG